ACATGTAAGATGAAGTTTATGTTCACTATGACTTTAAATTCTCATAACTTGATGAATATGAATGATTAAATTATGAAATTTTGATGACATGTCTATTTAGAAGTTGAGATTATGACTGTTAAATTTCATAATTTAAAGATGAGAAATGAATGAGTTATGAATATGAGATGGCATATATGTGAAGATGAGTATATATATATGCAAGAATATTCATGAGATGATCAAGATATTAAAATGAGATTTTTATGATCTATTCTCATATGAGTGATGAGTAAATTTGATGAAGATGGTTTAATATGTTGAGCATACAATTTTATAAAAATTGTATTAAGTATGGCATATTAATATCATGATTGGATGTGATGTTTAAAAGATGAATATGATTGAGTTTAATTTCACTTTCAAGATGTAAAAGTGAAAAATGAGTATGAGTAAATATGAATGATTTGGAGAATATGATATATGATGAGATTGATTGAGTAAAAGATTGAGAAAAGTTAATTTGAGAAATGATATGATTATTGAAATTTCTATAAGATTTGAATAAGTTATCCGAATGAATTGAGAAAACCGAGCATCTTATTGAGTAAATGAGCATAAGTACTTAGTATATTTGTTTATATATTTTTATGTAGCTTGAGGAGGTTGCTATACGAGAACAACACTTACGAATTTACAAACGACGAAAGGTGGGGACCCAGACTGGGTATTACATTGAGTATAATATTGATATCATGTCCGAGGTATGTAAAAGTTTAAGTTTATACGCTTGGGAAGAAGGCTGATGAGTTGCCTTACGAGTATTTCCTAAGTTCTAATGGAGGCCGTTGAGTTGCCTGAGAAATATCCATTAGATTGTGCACAAGTATCCGATGAGATATCGGTGAGATGAAGTTGAGATACTGGAGGAGTTTAAGTCCAGTTATATACCGGAGATCATGATATTGTATTATTATTGCTGTTTACTTTAGTATGGGTGTTTTTCGGGGTACAAGAGGATCGTACTCACCCCCATTGTGTTTTTCAGGAAACAGGGTCGGGCCGGAGGTGTGAGCTCGAGACGTTGTGGTGGTGGTTGTGCATTTCCAAGGATTTTTATGAAGTCTTTAATAAAGTTTGTATAATAAATCACGCTTTCGATTATTCCGCTACGCATATTGACTATTGAACTTGCATTTTCTTAAATGAATTTATGATTTGAAGTTTTTATAAATTTGAGAAGGATGGATATGGTTAAATGCAAGTTTAAAGAAAATCTATTTAATTATGTCTAAAAGAGTTATTAGACAAGAGGTTAAAGATAAATGGATTTTCAAGATGTAAGGTTTAGTAGCATCCCGAAATAGTCGCAAAAGATTTCGAAAGAGATATAAGTATTTTCGAAGTAAAAGTTGCGAAAAATTTACTCTGATAAGCGGGTGTTACAGAAGACGTCGGAAAGAATGGCAGACGGGGATGCCAGCGTTCAAAAGACTTCTTTGCGATGGCCTACTACGGCTGCTTTCTGAGAAGGGCGAGGTGGTCGTCGATGGCAAGGGATGCTCAGAGGTCGACGGGGAAGGGAGTTCTCACCGGAAAAGTACGCACAAGATTTCTCTCTCTCTTTTTTTTTTTATTTTTTTTTAACAAAAGCTGCAAACGTGAAGGAGAGTGGGATGATTCCTGGTGTTGAACGATTCTCCTCGGCTAAGAATTTAAAGAGAGACGATGAGAGAACGTGCGAGATTTCTCACGATTGAATCGGAACGGATTTTTGAAAGGGTCTGTTAAAGACGACTTAGTCACTGCGAAGGAGAAAGAAGAGGCCTGCCGGTTTAATTCTAATGGGCCAAAGTAAAATATTCAAGTGGGCCAAACTCACAAAAATAGATTGGGCTGAACATTTAACAAAATGTCAAGGAATTAATTCATAAAGGGCCGAAAATCATATCCGATTGAACCGGTTTATTGGTCCAATGGACCAAAAAATATTTCTGATAGATTAGGCCGATTGTCACACTTAAGACCCACTCAGAAAAGGGCTCAAATACGATTTGGGAAAATCAAAAGATAGCGATTTAATAACTGATTGACGACGAACAAAAATAGAATTACACGACTACGACTGGAAAATTGAATAAATATATCCGGCAATATATATATTGCACACCATAATAAATATATCATCAAACAATTACTTCACTTTGGCAATTAAAATAAAATAATTAATAATAATACTAATACCAAAAATAATATTCAAAAAATACAATATTCGAACGGGGTATTACACAGACGTCTTGTATTACTGTCGCGGTCGTCGTTCTTTCGCCGTCAGTCATCAAAGAAGACGACCTGCTCTCGCCACCGACCTAGAAGACGACTTTCTATCACACCATTAGGTTTATTGTTCGATTTTTTTTTACTGGATCAGCCTGAATTTGATTGCTATTTTCTTTCAAAATTGATGATGAAATCGATCACTAGGGAGGTCTTGGCTGTGAAGATACGGCCGGCAGGTTCACCGACGGCAAGTATGGGGTTGGGTTAATAGGGCCGAACGTGAAATTACATTGAAATTGGGGGCTTTTTTTTGGAGAGAATTTGACATCCTTCAAGGACTTAATTGCAAAATCTTTATTTCAATATAAACGTGGGAGTTGGGACAAATCAGAACAACTAGTTGGGACCCCACATGCCACTTGATTTGGTATTATTATTTGTGTTTTTTATGTAAATATATTATTACTTTTTAGTAAAACACAAGTATTTAAAATATTAAAAAATAAATAAGTTTTTATAATAAAAATAATATTTTTAGTTGTTATGATTGATTCGCTTAACCGACCCAATAAACATTTTGGTTCAATTTATTTTCATTCGAGTCAACAACTCTAATGCGTGAAAAAATTAAAATTTACCATGTTTTTTGGTTTCTCATATTTTTAGTTATTTCAGTTCATTTTAAAATTTATATATTTTGATTATTTCGACCAAAGTTGAAAGAGTCGAGCTATATGAAAAATATTAGTATTATGATTTATATATTTGTATGTATTGCGATTGCACATTATAATTATATGGATTGCATCTTAATTGACTATGATTGCACAATATTAAAAATCAACCAACTAAAATTGCCGGTTCGAAATTTTATATTTCAGATCAATTATTACTTTTATTATTTTTCTACTTCTAAAACTCAGTAATGCACTTTATAAATCATCACGTTGCACTTTATAAAACAACACATTGCACCTTATAAAATAACACAATGCACTTTATCACGACACTCCACAATTTGCGTCGATAATTCCCGCCAAAGTACCACACACCATAAATTTTTACTTTTTTTAAGAAAAAAAATAGATCAATTTATTTACATTATGCATTAAGTAGTGCGGATATTGATGTGTACAATTCGTCAAAATTAGAAAATTTAACCTATTTTTTTTTTTNGGGTTAATGTGCAAATGCACACATTGTATTGTGCATCTTATTGAACATTATTGTGCATTTGTTAATTTTTTGTTAAATTTACAAACTTTACACAAAAACTAATGTATATAAAATGTTACATAAATTATTAAAATACTAAATATGATTTTATAATTGGAACTATATTTTAATTCAATTATTTTGGTTTAATTTGATTAATCGATCAAATAAACTAATTAATTTTGTTCGGTATTATATTGGGTTGAGACAAAAGATCGGTCGGTTCATAATGTACAATAGCCACCGACACTGTGCACAATATTACTAGATGACTTGCACATTAGCGTATGATAGGTTGCACATTATAGGGCATATTATTTATTATTATTGTACATGTATTGATTTGCAATATATTTAAACTTTATTAATTTGCAAATGAGTCCCTAATACTTATCTCATTTACAAAAACCAAGCCCCCCAAATTCCAACCCTTATCTAATTTGCAAAAGTGAAGCCCCTAAATTTCATACCCTCCAAGACAACTGTTGTGTATTGAAAAAAAACATCACAAAGCCAACAAAATTCATTGAGTCTAAGACTCACACTCAACATTTTACAAAATCCGCAAACACCCATGCTACAACATTTCATAAAATTTACAATCACCAATCAAAGCAATTAAATTCTCTCATCGGAGAGCTTCTTCTTCTCATCGGGGAGTCCCATCTTCTCACCGGAGAGTTTCATCCTCTTTAGAGAGGGATTCCTTTCTCCTTTCTTCTTTTTCCCTTTTTAGTTTGCTTTCTAATTGGATTTAGGGTTTGTCTATTGCTATTCAAAGCTGAGATGGAGGGTGGTGCAACACCCAATCTAGTAGACAAAGTAGAACAAAGACTTAAAGCATTCTCCTTGTCGGAGAAAGAAATCAAAGTTATTGATCTTGGATCGGATGACGTCAAAGCAGGAGTAGAAGAATGCCACAAAAGTCTCTTCCGTAAAATTGTGGGTGACAAATGAGCCAACCTAGCCAGAGTCAAGAAGGCAAGGAGTCTTATTTGGAAACTGAAACACTCTATAGAGGTACGTGAGCTCAGTCCCAATTTCTTTCAGTTCACTATCGAGAATTTGGAGGACATGGGTAATGTTCAGGGGGAACTAATTGGATCCTAGATAACCAATACCTAGTGTCGAAATGTTGAAAGGCAAGGTTAAATAGTAATGACCCTGAGTTCAATGGAGTTCGATTCTGGATTCAAGTTTACCATATACCTCTAGATTGGCTTACTACTGAAGTAGGGCTGAAAATAGGAAAAGTTTTTAAGTCAGTTTCCAATGTTTTTGTGGGTAATCATGGTATCCAAGGAGGGAGAATTATTAAACTCCTGTTAATTGTTGACATATCTGAACCTCTTCCCAAATGTGCTACCATTAGACTGGGTGATCAGCTAGTTACTGTAACTTTTAAATATGAGCGGCTGGTTAACATGTGTTATTATTGTGGTAAGGTGGGTCAAATAGAGAAAGGTTGTGGGCTTAGAATCTATGAAATTGAGCATAAATTGAAAGAAGGCCTGTTTGGGGAATGGATGAAGGCTGCTGAAGGACAACAGAGTCAAAGCTGGAATAATGGTAGCACCTTCCCTGGGCTAAATAGAGAGCAACCTTCTTCACAATATCAAGAGAACACTGCTATGAATGAGAGTCCATTTCCAAACAGAGATTCACCTGGCTTAGCAATTAGTTCAATTTAGAAACACCAGCCTTCTCAGCATTTGGAAGCTAATATTCTTAAGCAAGAGGAAGGTTCATCTACAGGTAATAATGATAAAGATATGATTCTATATGATGCCGCACTAGGGGTTATCCAAGAGGGTTTGCAGACCCCTTGCCTTTTGACCAGGAGGATATGGAGCCAGAACAAATAGAACAAGGACATCTCATTACTAGCCCTGTGATGATGCAAGCTGAAGGAGGAAGGCAAGTGTCAGGGGTTCCCAGGAAAACTTGGAGGAGATCTGGCAACAGATTGGTAGGCTTCCGAGAACCAAGGCAGCTATACCAGTGGATAACACTGGTTTATTTGTCAAGAGAACAAGGGAACAGACAGAAGAAGGGACACAAGACATTCCACTAGAATCTCTGCCTGCCAGAAAGGAGAAGAAAGCAAAGACTTGCAGTTATAAGGTGTTGAGGGCCAACCTTAAGCCCTTAAGTGACCAATGAGGGCTCTTGTGTGGAACTGTAGAGGTCTGGGTGGGACCTCTACAGTTCCCCAGATCAAGGAAGGCCTAAGGCTCCATCACCCCTCTTTTGCCTTTTTATCAGAAATTAAAAAATAAAAAAAATACTACTAAGATTATTTTTTAGTTGGGTTTTTTGGACAGTCATTGCTTGGTTGAACATGCAGGTACTAAAGGAGGACTTCTTTTGATGTAGAATGACCAGATAGAGATCATTCATACTTATTGCACAACAATTTACATGGCAGTGCAATACAAGGAAGATAGTCAGTCTCAAAGTCAGTGGATTATCTTTTTTTCATCTCAATACCTGTAAAGCAGAGAGAGTGGCCCAATGGAATGCTATACTTCAAGATCAACACCAATGGGGAGATTGCTGGTGCTTAGTAGGAGACTGGAATGATCACTGCAGTGTTGCTGATAGAAAAGGTGGCAGAATCAGAACTGTTAATTGTCTATGGGGTTTGAATAATTTCCTAGCTCAACTAGGAGGCCAAGAACTGCCACTTACAGGGCATCAATACACCTGGGCTAACAACAGAGAGGGGGGAGTGGCTGGTTAGATTTCCCCATTCTCAGGTGCTTAGCTGGTTTAGAAGTGCATCAGACCATTGTATGCTGGTGGTGGACTCTGGAGTTGCTCCCATCAGGCATAAGAAGCGGTTTCAGTTTGATAAGAGATGGATTTCTAAATCAGGAGTGAGGAGCTAAACCAAGAGTGATCAGAGTAGTAAGTGAGGCTTAGGAGATTCATTCAGAGGGCACTCCAATGTTTACAGTCAAGGAAAAAATCAGAAAAGCAAGACAAACCCTATTAACATGGAGAAAATACTTCAAGATAGATAATGTAGCCAAAATTGATAAGCTGTCAATGTCATTAGAGAAACTGAGGAAGAAAGGGGGTGACCGCAATTGGGAAGTATGGGATCATCTTGAAAGAGAGCTAGAAGAGGCCCACTGTTTAGAGGAGATTTATTGGGAGCAAAAGGCCAGGGCTTTATTGCTCAAAGAAAGAGACCGCAACTCCAAATTCTTTCATGCCTTTGCTGCCCAGAGGAGGAAACAAAACTCAATTGTCAGATTGCTTAACTCAACAAATGTCCTCTGTGAAAATTAGAAGGAGATTGAGGAGACCATTTCTGGCTATTTTCAGATGTGGTCATGAATTCCTGCCCCATATTCCCACTACAATCATAAAGGAGCTCAACAAAACACTCTTGGCACAAGTGGAGGATGAAGATATCAGAAAATCAGTCTTCAGTATCCACCCACTCATAGCCCCAGGGGATGATGGAATGACAGGATTGTTTTATCAACACTTTTGGCCAATCATTGGCAAGGATATCTGTGCAGCAGTCAAGAGTTTCTTTGAATCTGGGCAAATGTTGAGGTACTAGAAACACACTTTAATAACTCTAATTCCAAAATGCTTAAATCCAGTATCCATTTCTCAGTTCAGGCCTATCAGTTTATGCCCTATATTCTACAAGGTAATATCAAAAATCCTTGCACTGAGACTGAGACAGTGCCTATCTGCTTGTATTTCTGAGAATCAAAATGCCTTCCTTCCTGGTAATAAGTTGTTGGATAATGTGGTGATTGGCCAGGAGGTTTTTCATTTTCTGAATAGGCATAGGAGTGGCTCTAATTTTTTATGGCATTAAAGCTGGACATTGTGAAAGCTTTTGATTCTGTAGAGTGGAAGGCTGTTTAATTGACAATGCTGAGAATGGGTTTCCACAGACAGTTTGTAAAATAGATCTTGGATTGTATTTCATTTCCTTCCTTCTCTTATAATTTGAATGGGAAAATTTGTGTTTATATCTCTGCTTCAAGGGGCATCAGACAGAGGGATCCTCTATCCCCCTATCTATTCCTTATCATCTCAGAGCTTTTATCTACAAAAATAATGTAAATGTTGAAAGAGGTCACTTCAAGGGCATCAGAATTTCAAGAGATGGCCCCTTGCTCACTCACTTGATGTTTGCAGATGATACTCTCATCTTTGCAAATATGATGAGCATCAAATCAAGAATTTGAGGAGGATTCTGAAGGCTTTTCATCTTTTTACTGGCCAACAAGTCAACATGAATAAATCCACCAATATTTTTAAGCAAAAATGCTCCCATGGCCTTACAGCACCATTGTTGTTCCCTATTGCCTAGAATACAAATTCACTCATCCACCAGATATTTGGGATTACCCTTAGGCATAGGGAAATCCAAGAAGGAGGCTTTTGAATACATAACCACAGTGGTAAAGAAGAGAATTATTAGTTGGAAGAATAAATGGTTCACTCCTGTAGGTAAAGAGGATCTCATTAGAGCTGTGTTGAATGCCCTCTTTTTGTATTTGCTATGTCATGTTCTGTCCTTCCCTTGAGCTTGTGTTCAGAAATTTCCAAAAATTGTGCTCAATTTTGATGGAGTAAGGACTCAGAGTTCAAGAGAGGAATGCACTGGGTTGACTGGAACAAAGTCACACTTGCTAAAAATCATGGAGGCTTAGGATTGCAAGACATCCAACTATTTAATACAACCCTCATAGCAAAGCAGCTTTAGAAATTGATCAGTGAGCTAGATAGATTGGTCAGCAAGGTTCTGAAATCCAAATATTTTCCACACACAACTCTGTTTGAAGCTCAAAAGAAGCAAAACTCATCATGGTTGTGGGGTTGTTGGCTCACTGTGCTTAAAACTTGTAAAACCTGGATGCAGAAGGTTGTGAAAAATGGCAGAAGTATAAAAGTGTGGGATCAAAGCTGGATTCCTAACTTTATTGGCAAAGAGGTTGAGATTTTGCCAGGAAGGGATAGAAGGATTGAAATGTTAGAGATTTGATGAATCAAGAAGGGAGATGCTGGGATGAACTCAAGATCATGAGAACATTTCCTCCCCCATTCTGTCAAGTAATTCTCAGCATCAACCCTATTGACCCTAACCAGGAAGATGAATGGCCCTGGACTCTCCATAAGAAAGGCATGTTCTTAGTACACTCCACCTATTCCCATCTCATCACCGAGAAGTTTCTTCAGACGGCAAAACCTCAAAGCAGTAGAGACTATCATCTAGATGCGAGAGTTAGAGTCAGAAGCTGGGAGCTTAAAGTTCTGGCAAAATCAAGCATTTTATCTGGAAATGCTATTCTGGAACTCTCCCAGTGTTCATGAACTTACAAAACAGAGGCATTCAGCTTGATCCAGTGTGTAGGCAGTTTGGTGAGGAGCAGGAGACCATAGAGCATGTCCTCTTTCATTGCAGGTTTGCTCAAATTGTTTGGAAGTTGGCACCTTTGAACTAAAATGGCCCTACAGGTAGGGAAACCTTTAAATCATGACGGTGGAACATCTGTCAGTTGGATAAAAGTGAGACCTCTGAAGCCCGCATACAACTTTCAACATACATACTTTGGTGGCTATAGAGGTCTCACAACTTGTGTGTGTTTGAAGCATCAGGAAGACCTGCCCTTTCCCTGGTTCAGATAGCTACCCAGCAATGGCTAGAGTTCTTACAAAAAGGAAGGTGACAGGTTGATGGGATCCTATTATTTATGTATTTGTCAGTTTTGCTGCTTTGCTTTTTGGATTTTAGTAGCTTAGTGTTTTTGGTTGTTGTTTTGCTCTTGATATTTGTTGTTTGTTCCTGTTTTAGGTGTGGTTTGTTGGGGATTATAGGTTCGGTCAAGTATGAGTGCTCTAATCCCTTGTTGTTTGAGGAGGTTTAGTATTTTGGATTGTCTTTGTTCTAGCCCACATGTGTGTGGTGCTCTCATTCCCCGGCGGTGGGTCCTTGTAAAAATTTTCATTTGTGTTCTATGAGATAATCTATCGTTTGAAAAAAAAAATAAAGCAATTAAAGATTATCCCCAATTCACATTCATGGGTCAGTGGTCACAGACACACTCAACTAACTATATTAACCCAAAAAACTTAAACGATTTAGGTTTAGAAAATGCCTCGTATAGCATCGAAGGACGGCGGCGACGCGGTGACTGCAACTTGATGGCGGGAGAAGAAGCGAGCATCGCCGTCGAGGAGGTGGATACGACATGGTTCGACCGATAGAAGACGGTGGATTGGTGGCTCCTGATGAATTCTGGCAGTTGAGGTGGTGTGGGTAAGTGGCTGCCGGAATTTTTGTGTGTGTGTGTGTGTGTATATGTGCGTATGTGTGTGTGATGGCAGGGTATAAGCGTAGTTAGTGTGCGTTTGTGTGTGTGAGTGGGTGGAGATAGTAATTAGGGTAGATAGTTGGGGTCGGGTCCACTTGTGATTAGATTTTGTTGTATAATGACTAAAATACCCTTAATTAGAGGACAAATATGTAATTTTGACCACATTGTATAAGTTAATTTACCATAATGCCATTAATGATTGACCAATGTTGACTTTATCATGTCCATTGATATATTGAATCTAATGTCTCTGAATCATTCTTATTTCTTTCACTATCTTTCTTTTTTATTTGATCCATTCTCTCTCTCTATATATATAGAAGTTTTGCTCAAATGAGAAAGAAAAATAATTATGGACCATGGGATCAATCCTATCAATAGTCATTCATACACACACACATAACAAAAATACACAACAAATGATCACCGGCACCGCCGCCAATCGACCACCAGCCCCGACGCCGACACGTGGTCTAGTGGATTTCGGCGCTGCCGGAGTGCCATCCTGCCATCCCGCCATAACCCAACTGTTCCACCCTCTATCTGTAGATCGTCGTTGGCCATGCTTCGCTGTTACAGCCGCGAAGTCATTCCCACCGTCAGCCTACACATACACACACACACACACACACACACACACAGAGTTATTGCGCACATGCCCGGTCGCAATGCACCACCAGACGACTTCTTACGCTTTTCGCTCGACGTCCGACGTTCGATGCCTGTCTTCCGGTAACTTAGGATTCCTCCTCCGCCGCCGTGTCTTCTCTCCCACCCTTTGTTTTCTCTCATCAGCTCTCTCCCACCCTCTGTTTTCTCTTCACCCGTCGACCTTGCAGCACAGCAACCCGCACGCCGGCAGCAGCGCCAACCCCGCCGTCCGCCGCCATAGTCACCCTCATTCTAATCGATTACTACAGAATTGGGATTTTGGGGATTAGGGTTTTTTTGTTTTCTGGAAATTTGATAATTAAAAGGGCTTGATTGCAATTACATTAGGTTTTACATATTACAATTTAGTACGTGGGACAGATGTGCAATTAAGTAAAAACAATCACATTAGGTTTTATATATTACAATTTAGTATGTGGGGCAAATGTACATTAAAAAGAACCGGTATAATTTTACGAAATTACATAATTGTGCTCCAATTGTTTCATAAATTTTAAAAAACAATATTTATTAAAAAAAAACTGTATATTTATTATACAGTTTTTTTTTAAAAACAATATTTATTACTTAAAATTAATATATATATATATATATAATACTTGAAAAAAACTGTCAACATTTATATAAAAATATCAAAAAATAAAAAAACAATATTTATTATATGGCCCGGTTGGTTCGCTTCTTTAATTTATTTAAGAAAATAATCTGACATCTTACCGAAATAAAAGATTATTTAAAATTAAACAAAAAAATAAGACGAAAAGATAATCATTTTGTAATATAAAATTACGAAATAAAAAGTTTGGTCGGTTTCGTTCGATATTGTGCAATCTAATAGTTATAAATGTGCAATTCACCTAATACTATTGTGTATTCATAGCGTAGATATTTTCAATGAATTTTTTCAACTCAAAATAAGAATCAAATCGAAATAATCGGTGTATTCGATCTGTTACAATAATCGAAATACTTTATTATATATATTATAAAATGTATTTATCATTTTAATTTTTATATTTAATGAAAAAGACATAATAATAAAAACATTTTATATTATTGTTTGTTGAAAACAAATAAAAGAATGACATTAAAATCCATTGATATAGTAATGTACATTCTTGAACGCAATAATGTGCATTTAGGCTAATAATATAGTGCAACATGACAATCATTAACATGCATAATGTTTAATTCTGTTTTGCATTCAGTCAGTTTTTTTATGTGTACATTCAATCAATTATAATTAAAACAATTAAAATAATTTATTATTTATTATTTATTATTATAAAATTTATTTAATATTTTAATATCTTAATAATTTTTAGTTTAAAATAAAATAATATATATGTAGAAAATATGTTTAAAAATAATATTTTTTTATATAGATTTTCTAAATTATAGATTTGGCCAAATGGTTAAATTGAAAATAGTCAAAAATTATAAAATTGCAAATAGGTCCTTTATTATTATATAATTTCCAAAATCAAGCCAAAACTTCAAATCCCAACTTTTTGCCCCGGTCAACCTCCGAGCAACACACCGACCGGCAGCCCCCAGCCCGGTTACCACCACCACGCAAGTCTAGCTATTATCAACTTTATTTACGGATTTATGCTCGTCTAGTGTGATTTCCGTTGATCTCGTCCCCAATTTTTCATGGCAGAGGAACCCGCCATGGAGTCGCACAGAGGTGACCGTATATACTATGGAGACCGGCAGATGAGGATAAATATAGGGCAACGGCGTTACAAAAGGTTGCGGGCAGCAATAACGTTGGAAGGCGCAGCATCGAGGCTTCGTCGGCGGCGGCAGAATGTGTCGACTCTGCGGCGTCGAGGCGTTTTCAGCCCTCTGGACACAGTAGAACGATGAAACTCCGACCTTCTGTTGGGCGGGCAAGGTGTTGGAAGTATCGCCGGTGAGAGTGAGCGGCAAAAATGGGGGCGAAAAATGGCAGCGAAAATAGTGAGTGGAAGGTCCAGGTCACCTTCGGTGGAACAAACACGACGAAAGGAGGGGTGAGGAGAAGATGAGAGTGACAACCACTCGCAATCATCAACCCATCGTGATAGGCCGCGAGCCGAAAAACCGAGGCTGATGTTGTCTACCTTTAGTGGAACGGACCCTGATTCTTAGCTGAGTAGAGCTAAATAATACTTCTAGTTGAATGAAACTTCAGAGACCGATTGGGTGAAGTACACTGCCTACGTCCTCGAGGGTGAGGCAAACTTGTGGTGACAATGGATCTCGGATGTCTACCAGGCAAAGAACGAGTAAATTCAGTGGGGTCAATTCATAGATGAGTTGATCACAAGGTTTGGGACCTCAAATTACTTCGACTATAATGAGGCTCTATCCCATATCAAGCAAACGGCAAGCCTAAGGGACTACCAAAAGGAGTTCTAGCGTATAGCGAGTCGCGTACGTGGTTGGTCGGAACATGCACTCATTGCATCGTTCGTTGAGGGACTTAAGCCCGATCTCGCTGCAGAGGTACGCTTGGAGAGGCTGAGAACTATGAGGGAGGCTTTAGAGGCCACTTGTAAAAGGGACGACCACCGAGTCGCGATCTGGAGGGCCGGGCGAGAAACTGGGCGCAATACAAAACCGCGCTGTACGGACCTGCATGCTGATAGTCGCGCACACATAGACAACACACTAAGGGTCGAGAATGAGGCCAGTCCCCGAATACATGCAGCGTTTAACCCCGGAGGAGATGCAACGACGCCGAGAGAAATGCCTGTGTTTCACTTGTAATGATCGATTTACATCGGGACATAGATGCAAAGGGAAACAATTACACATAATAGAGGGTGCTGAGTCCAATGAGAAAGAGCTCAAGGAAGATAAGTCAAGGCACCATGTGAATGAGGACTTAGAGATTTCATTCAATGCAATGTAGGGATGCACGGGCCGAGAACAATTAGATTTCCAGCTACGGTTCGAGGACGACAAGTTAAGGTGTTAGTCGACACCGACTCATCTCA